ACCTCCGTCAGGTAGAACCACTTCTCGTCGATATGGACTCGATCGTACATGTCGTGCCAAACCATTCCATTGCACGAGGTGCCATGAACGAACGACCTGGCAAAGGCTAAACGGTCCGCCTTGTGCTTCTCCGTGACCATTGGCTTGAGGCGGCTGGTTCGACGCTGAAGCTTCTTTGTCTGAAGGACCCGCCAAAGCGTTGTTCTTGGAATGCCGCTTGACACCGCCAAGGACTCAAACGTTCTCCGCAGGACCGGCGGGACACTCTTTATGGCGGTCTCGATGTCGGACATGGTGCGCGACGGGCGTCGTCCACAGCGCCCTTTCTTCTTCAGTGCTACGTCTGCGAGGCCATTTCGTGCTTTCGACCTCTGGCCGCGTCGCCAGATCTTGGACAATGTCTGCCTTGAGACTCCATACTGCGCCAGAAGCTCCTCTGCCTTGCCCTTGGGCAAGCGGCCGTTAACCTTGTGCACCAAGAGCTCGTGGTACAAACCGAGCCGTTGATCGTTGGGTAGGTCGTGCTTGGTCGTGGCGCGCGTCATGGCGTCTGAACGGTAACTCCACTTCCAGAACTTCTTGGGTTCTGAGGGGCGCTAGCAATATCTACGCAACGAGACGAGTCGTTTGCGCGTGATTTCAGCTCAAGCGGATGAGAAATGACTGAGTTACGGGTATTTATAGATTGGTTGGCCCTGAAGTGGAGTTTTGATTCTTGGTTGTGAAGCGAGGAGGAAGAATTAAAAAAATCTGAAAATAGTCTCGTATTCGTCTCGTGATTGGCTACCTTTCCATGAAATTTCATCCAGAATTGCTTCATTTTGCCAGAAATAGGCATCTGGGAATTATATGTCTCCACCTTTACGGAATGGAGGAAGTAATACGAAGCTTTTATTTTCTTTATTTTTTAAATATATTTAATAAAAAATGGAGCACGAACGCCACCACGAGCTTGACGTAGTATTTACTGCATCGACTGCATGATGAAGCTCTTAATAACGTAAACGTTACAATGATTGTTCAGGTGGTTTGGGCACAAAGCATCTCCAATAACGTTACTATGTCTTAATAATGATAATCCAAAACTCAATAACGTTACTGTAGCCAGTACTAGTACACAGTACAGTTATGGTACGTCTATTTCAAAATTAATATTCCCTTTTCTCGCAAAATGGGATAAACCTAAAATGCCATTTTCAAAATGGAGGTAAAAGGTCCATTTTGTAATATGGCGTTTTGGACCTCTTCAACGAGTAAATCCCACGTGGAATTATTTATTGGATTTGGGTTAAAACTCTGCAAGCAAGACATGTTTCAATTTTAATCAGATTTGTTGAATTCGGCCCCAAAATGGGGTTTTGGGGCTGAATATTGCAATATTTCCGGTTACCAGATGCACCCTTAATGAAAACTATATATCAGAGGTTTCCCAGTCAAGTAGTATTAGATTTTACGGTTTTGTGTTTAGTGCACCCACCAAATATACCGCGAAAAACGAACCAGTTCCTGAAATTCCTGCGTGTTTGGGCTACATTGATTTCGCGGGACCAATAAAAAAACGCGATGACCGACACCGCCACCGCCAAGGAAGTTGAACGCGTGCTTACGACATCCGATTTGGCCGACGAGAACGAGCTGGACGAGAACGAGCAACATGTGGCTGCGTGGATAAAAGGCATGCATGAATCGGAGATCGCTAGGCTGACGCAGGCGGGCGCCAAGGCGGTGCCGCTCAAGGTCAAGAACATGGCGATCGTGCGGGAGGACGCCGGCGTGGTGCTCAACCGCGTGGAGGTGGACACACGCTTCTCCATGGACCGAATCGAGCAGATCCTCGTCGCGGAAGAGATCACATCTGTGCCACGCAAGCCACACTTCGTGTACGTGAACGTGTTGCTGCTGCCCAAAGCGTCGACGATTGCCCTAGTGATGCCGTACGTGTACGACACGCGGGTGGCCGGCAACACGTTGACGCAATGGGTGTTCCTCAATAATAACATGGAGCGATCGCATCATGTGATCGGGTAACCCTTTTTTTTCGCTCCCACGACTGGCGTTGGGTAGTTAGTTGCCTACTACTAGTACCAGTGTCGCTGGTGGAGTTGCTCTAACATACTAAGCATAGAGAATCCCCACCGGCTGATGTTAACATAGAGCTGAAAAGACCCGTTTATTGGGTGCGTGCTGTAACAGTAGTACATCACTTCACAGCCAATCCACACCGGTTGGCGGAAATTGTAGCCCTGATGGAGCAAACTCGCGTTGGACGCCCGCTGGCGATTGAGGTTTTGGAGCTCTCGCCAGTGGAGAATTTAGTGCAGCAGGGTTGGCATACATTCTATTGTCTGTAAGATTCATATTCATGCTGCCGGCGTGCTCCAGGACGTCGGGATGGCATGCCTCGTTGAAGAAGTCCATTGGGACCTCAATCGCATAGAACTGTAAACGACCCAACAGATCGATCTGTTGAGAAATCTGTGTTTATGGAGCGTTTACATCTCATGATGTAAAATTTATTGGCAACCGGTGTGGGTCTGAAAAATGTAAATTTTGCTGATGAAGTGATGTACTTTGAAGATTTTTACATTTCTACATGAGCCGGTGGGGATCCTCTAAGTACTGTACATATAGTAACGGATTTTAGATTTATGCTGCGTGGGTGTTAAATGAAGTGCCCAACCTCCATTCATCCCATTTGCTAACATGTTTTTGCGTATATACTATGTAACTTTAGTATTATAACTCGAAATAGGTTTATAATACTATTAATATTGCGTTATTATATTCACGTTATTGTCGAATTTGGACGATTGATTGGGTTGTTGTTTGGCCCAGTCAAAATTCTATCTTTAAATTTGTAAACAAACAAATTTAAAGATAAGTACTTCGTATGTTTTGACTGGCCAAACCAGCTAACTAATCGATGATTTGGTCATTCGTAACATGTAAACGCATGTTGTGTTAAATCAAAAGTCCAAATCTGAACACATTTCAAAATAACAATTCTTAACAAATAATACAAGTCAGATTATAACTCAAACCACGATAATCTCAAGTTGTGCTATATGATATTGTCTCTGCCCAGTACGTTTCTACGTTCAACTACTTGGTCTCCATTCTCCATAAATGGTAGGTAGCTACCACGTCCTTGTTTGTATATTTCACATTCCATTCGAATTAGTTATAGTACGAGCGCTGCCCCAGGTGTTGTTAGTTTCTGCTCTCCATGCGCCGAATGTCGTCTGCCGTAGCCTCGAAGGCAGCTTGGACGTCGGCCAACTCTCGTTCAAGCGACTCCTTTTGCGCGAGTAGCCGCTGCTTCATCACGGGGTTCGCCATGGACGTGATGTTTGCCGCCATCTTGCTAATGTCTTTGCGCAGGTCCGACACCTTCTTGGTCTGCTGCGCACGGGTGTTGAGCAGCGTCAAGTACTCCGGGTTCGACTGCAGTGACGAGCCGTCTGCCGCGTCGTCGTCATCGTCCTATGATATCCGTCAATACGACAAATATATATATATATATTAGCTGCTTCAATGCTATATATATATATATTATGAGAAAGATAGGTGCATCATATTATTCCCTTGTAATAAGCACGTCCATGTGGATATCATTTCACAACATTTGTTCATACCGCAACCAATCAAGTTTTAAATTCCAACTAGTCAAAAGAGGGCTCATTACGTTTTATAAAACCAAACACAATGACGAATAGAGTCATAGGATCAAAAATCGATTCGACACTAGTCCTCTGCAGAATCGAATGTGTTTCAAAAATAGATCAACGAATAGTCTCATAAGCCAATCAAATCACGTTCTGTCGAATTTCTGCCAATCCAAAGAACGGATTCAGTTTAGTGCTTCCGCATTGGGCAAAATCAACGATACTACATGTTGCACAGTAATTGTATTATAATATCAAGCTGATAAAAAGCATTATATTTAGTGAATCAACACATTTGAGTGACATATAATGCAACCATATGCGTGAGATCACACACACGTACATCATCCATGTCGTCGTTCATCATATCGTCGAGGTCGTCGTCCAGGCCGTCGCGCGCGGTGGATGCCGCCGCCGTCACCTTTGTGAGTGTCTTGGTTGGCGATAGCTTCTTGGACGATGGCGGGGCGTCCTCATCTTCGGATATGGCCGGAGTTCGTGACGGCGTCTCGTCATCGATATCCGATTCCGGGCGACTGTTGGCTTGCGAGTTGACGCCGTTGGAGCTTCCAAAGGCCAACGACGGCGCCATGCCGCCACCGCCGCCGCTGCCGCTTTGAGTCAAATCCAAATACTATCCACACATTCAGACTATATGAACGTATACATGCGACATAATATAATAAAGAAAGCAACGCTGACGTTGACATAGCTGTCTTTAGTTTACATTTAGAAGGTATTTCATCAAATATATATATATTTATATAAATAAATAAATATTTTCTACATCGACGACGCCATGATAACGGATAGGTTTCAAAAGATATATTACATGATTATATTAAAATGATATACTTCGAAAATAAGATAATAATATATATATATATATATATTATTTTAATGACACAATCGATCGACCACTCAAAACCCACAACACGAATCAAGGAACCAATCAGAATCAACCAATTCAACCCAATGCAGCATCGAATTAGTGTGTGACTGAAATTAGTGTGCAGGGCGACCTGTTTTTCATACAAACTTCAGTACAAAAAAACATTCGAGTATATACAGGACCACTGCAAAATAGAGTAGGTAGGTATACAAAGATCAAGAGAGTGGATGCACGACCAGGACAATTACCTCGGGGTGGCGCTGGATGAAGTCCATTTCGTCGTGGACGACAATGCCGTTGGGGTGCTCGTCGTCGACCATCCAGTCGTAAAAGTCCACCAGTTCCTCCTCTAACATATCATTTCGATCAATAATATCGTTCATGGACATGGGAAACACGTACGGACGTCCTCGATGATGCCGCCGGCAATGATCTTCACGAGGGTATCCTCGACGCGGGCGACGTCGGCCTTGGGGAAGATGGGACTCTTTCGTGTCTTGGCGTACTTGCGCTTGACGATGTTGGTCGTGGGAGGCGTGATGCCGCCAGGGAGCTCGGTCACGGTCTCGTACAGCATCTGTTCTTCGGGGGTGTCATGGACAAGCAGAATCTAATGCATCCAGAGAGATCGTCAGGAACTAAGGGGGGGAAGGATGCACACACACAACTTGTACCTGTCCAATGTCACCGCTCTTGTAAAACAACTTTTCGTCATACGTTTTGTGCGTTTCCACGATACACGGCAGTTGACCTACATGTGAACGCAAGATGTGAGAACGGGTATGCCCATCGGTGGTCGTACATAACGTAGCAGGGAGCTCCGTATCGTCGATGCGGAATTTGAAGTTGCGGTTGTCAGCTACGACACACACACACGCACGACGTTAAGTCGAGAGAAAAAGGATGCATGTAGACTGCACGTAAGAGGCGGACGTACCGCCAGCCACAACGTCGACGCCACGGACTTCCTTCTCTGCCATCTTCTTCCGCAGCTCTTCGCCTACCCGCTTGGGCACTCGGAGCAAGTATTGCTCCATCATGGTGCTGTGAGTTCTGTGATGTGTGAGTTGTGCTTGAGTGAGTGTGCCTCAGTTATCCGGATAATTGGAACGAGCTCCCGGTATCCGGCAAATCGGATGACGACGAACTCATCCGGATAAATATACTCACTCAAATTGTGATATTTCAGCCTTTACTGTATCCATAGATAACTTCAGATTAATAGATGCATAGTCATGTAGAATATCACGGATGCTTAATTTGTATAAATCTGTACCTATACAGCCCGGCCTACTTTAGGATTTACCGGATATTATCCGGCAACGAAACGCTGAAGGATACGCCCACTTGTCTGGCACGATGGAGTCGGCTCCGGCTGAAGCAGGTGCGATAGGCGAAGAGCCTGGCCGAGCGTCAGACCCATTGGTAAGACTTGATGTTCACTCTATGAATGCTTGGCGCATGCATCATATCAGGTAATCTGCTAACTTTTGCCGTAGCTTCGACGAAGGTACATGGCTCTGGTGAGCGGCCTGCCGATCATGGGTACTGTAGCGATCCATCCGTCGCAAGGCAATACTTGACACCGCGTCTCGTAACCGTGTAGACAAAAAAGGTCGTCTCCTGACCTGCCGATACGACCGTCTGAAGGAGCTACGGCGCATGGTGATTGTCTACGGGTTGCCGGTCGAGGAACCCGAGGAGGTCGTCGAGAACGCGCTGACGCTACGTGGTCGTGTGTGGAAGGTGCTGCTCGGCATGGACGACGACAGCGCTGCGTCCGTGGAACGCAAGCAAGAGTACAAGCGGACGGTGGCCAAGGGCGCGTCGTCAAGCGACGGCGAGATCCGCAACGATACGTTTCGGACGTTCCGCGGTGACCCGAGCTTTGCGCGGCGCGTGCCTGAAGCCACGTTGGTCCGCGCGCTCAATGCGTTCCTCCATGACCATGTATTACAAGCTACTACTACATATCTTGATCGCATTCCATCGAGAAAAGCCATGACGACTGACAACTACCCCAGGGCATGTCATGCCAAGACGGCCGACCCGACTGCGACCAACCGTTCCGGTACTTTCAAGGCATGAACATCCTGTGTGGCATCTTCCTCTACGTCCTCCCAGAAAGCGACGCGTACTTGAGCTTGGAGTTGTTTGTCACCAAGCATTGCCCTCGCTACGTCGCGCCGCAGCTCGCCGGCGTGCACGTCGCCTGTGGACTCGTGGACCGATGTCTTCAAACGGTGCATTGTATAGCTGGTTCTTTATTCGTCGAAGAAATGAGAATGGTTGCCTTGGCCATGGGTGTATGGTTATATATATATATGTACAGAATATTTATTTGCCGTCCTGTCATTGTGTGGTGGACTGGATTTTATATATATTTTGTCAAATCCGTTCCAATTTGAACTTCCGAGACGAATCGACTGATATGTTTTGGCTAATGTACTTTCGAATGACCAATCCTGCTTCAGGATTGAGAAATTTTAACCAATCGTCGATTAGAATGGTGTGACCCAAGCAGTCAAAAAACGTTGTTTAAATTTGTATTCCATACTTTGAATAAGATACACGTTTGACTCAAATTGATTCCGAAAATCAGTTGCCAAGTCCAACTTTCAGTGAAATGGACAATATGATGACACGGAAGGTGAAAAATCCATGGATTGTGGGAGAGATATATTGTGAATTCGCTGTAAACCTCGAAATTCACGTGGTTTCCTACTCTATTGAATCACGCTGGAAATTCTGATGGGCCGAAAATATACTTGTCCTTTATGTAACCAGAGCCAATCTGATTCTCTCAAACTTGGATTAGCCAATAATAGCGAAAATTCGATGCTTCGTTACTGGAAATTTTGTTTTGTCCTTTTACCCAAAATTATGACTTTTGTGCTGATTCTCCACGTCTGTCGATCGATTCATTGTATGGAATGTTCTATGTCAAAAGTTGTCCTGTGGTGATTGTAATCACGCTAAATTAGGCCTCATATTAATTAGGTTCTGATGATTGTTGTTTGCTGCAATTTGATTGGCTAAATCCTTCTGTCGATGATTTTTCTGTATATTTATTATGTTTTGTGGATTTATTCACTCCATGCCGCTCCAGTTTAGAGTAAACACGACAATACCGAATCCACAATATGGATGAGTCTTAACAACGTTATGATATGGACCATGTTACGTAGCTCGATTACAAGCTGTACAAACACTTGCTGTCGCATGGCATCACGGCCAAAGTGTACGCGTACCCGATCATCTTGAGCTTCTTTGCGTGCATCCCACCGCTGTCCGAGCTCCTCCACATCTGGGACGTGGTAAGTTGCAACATGTATTGTGTTGCCAACGAAATTGTCTATCTTTCAGCCAAAATTTGGACTTTTGTGCTGATTTGCCAAATCCTTGGATCGACTTTGGTTCTGAATTTTGTGTAAAACAAGGCCAGCGGAAATGCCAGTCCCACTAATTGAAGTCACACAAGAAGGAGCTGTTGATTGGTTGAACGGATGATTTCCTGGAATCTGATTGGCTAAATTCTTGTGCACATTTGGTTACATTCGCCACGTCGCTCCAGTTTGGAATAAACACAACAATATCAAGTCCATATTGCGTTATTGTCTTTCTTTTACCCAAAATTTGGTTGACTTTTGTGCTGAATCGCCAAATGTATCGATGATCGATTCGTCTTTGTACTGATATATTTTGTATCTAAAAAGTTGTCCTGTGGTGATTGATATCACACTAATTGAAGTCACACACTAATTCGACGTTGATGATGGTTGTGTCCTGCAATCTGATTGGCTAAATAAACCCTTCTTTGCCGATGATTCTTGTGTACATTTATTTGGTTGTGTTGATTTATTCACTCCATGTCGCTCCAGTTTAGAATATAAACACAACAATATCTCGAGAGGGTTATTCCTGGTTTGGGGAATGCGAAATTTGATATTGCCAGTCTTTCAGCCAAAATTTGGACTTGAATGCTGCTTTGCCAAATGTCCATCGATCGATTTTGTGTGTTGTACTGAATTTTGTATGTAAAAAAGTGTCGGATATGTACATAAAACTATAAATACGATTTAAATTTTATATTAATTTTGCTTTTCCGTTTGGAGTTAAAGTATAAAATTTGACCTAATGTTTCAATATTTGTAATTAAAAATTTTAATCCATTTTTTATTATTATTTTTTAAATTATATTTAGAAAAAGGAGATTTTTTACTATTCCAATGAGCTATTACGCTTTCTTTAAAGGATGGCTGCTTCCAAGCCTAAATGGTTTAACATTTTTCAGATATTTATAAATATTTTTATATACTCCCCTATTACACTAATTGAAGTCACACACGACTTCGTTGTTTACGGGTTGAACACCCGGTGGTGTATTTCCTGCAATCTGATTGGCTCAATATTATTCTGCCCATTCGGTTGTGTCGATCCATTCGGCAGCAAATCCTCCAGTTTAGAATATAAATACAAAACAATAGCTGCTGGCGATGGGCGCACACTTTGTGGTGCTTTTGGCCACCGCCCACGTCGTGCTCTTGCGCACTGAACTGCTTCACACGTACGTGGATCGACTTGTTCTGGGTAGTCGTGTATCCAGGTGTTTTTACTGGGGAATTGCGCTTAGAGCATCTCCAACGGTAAATACTAACCTATTGCTAAAGCATAGGTTAAACTTTGTTTTATGGTTGCTATTTTCGCACTATCCGGACTTTTTAGAAATTAGCAGAATTTCTATTTTCGCGTGAAATAGCAACAAACCCTCCGGATAGTGCAAGAGTTTCTATTCTATATCCGTAACTTCGCATTGAAATTGAAATAAAAACACCGTTGGAGATGCTCTTGTAGCAGTGTATTCCACCTTACAATATGAACACTTGAACTGGGCAGATCATGACAGGCTTACGTCGACTGTATAGGGACATGCACTTGATGAACAAACTCAACTTGCGTGAGACACCGCCGCTTCAGGCGCAGCATCTCATTTACGTCGCCCTACAGGTATACTAGTAGTCGTTTCGATCCAATATGTGGCTTGTGTGTGGATTCGCCAAATCTATCGATATATTTATTAACAGTAAGCTATTTAGAAATATTTCTTTCGATGCTTACTGTTAGTCCTTGTTGCTTGTCCTATGGTGATGCCAATCACACTAATTAACTCATTAGATGTTGATTTTGTACGTTCTGATTGGCTGACACAGTTTACAATATGTTCCATAATACACGTATATATATTGTCGATTTGATACAAACATTTGGGGAGGGGTACATATTGTCGATTTGATACAAATATTTGGGGAGGGGTGCAATCGAATCGCGCCGACCAAACCGATCCACAATCGATCTAATTGGTTGAATTTCATTGAGAAGGTTTTGATTGGCTAATAATTTTGAGTTCATCTGAGGTAGCCAATCAAATCTATTTAAATTCCAACGAGAAACCACAACACAATGAAATTTCACTCGAAAGCACAATAGTCTCTGTTCTTTTTTTGTGGTGCATCAGTCTTCGTATGGTATGATAAACTGATGGTATTTTATGGCTGGATAGTTGCTGCATCGGTTACCGGATGAGTTGTACTTTGAGATTGCGCGGCACCCGTTTGATGCCGCCGACACGCTCGCCAGCATCATGCTATCGCCCCCCACGCTCAATGTGGTGCTGGAAAAGGTCAAAAAGCTCAAAAAGGACAAGTCCGTCAAGAAAGCCGCAGCCGCCGCCCTCGACACCAAGCCGCCGTGGAAACTCTAAACAACGAGACTGGGGAACCAAGAGTTGTATACTTTTAATACTACTTAAAAGTACTACGTAGTAGTAAGAGGTATATCTGGGTACAATAATTCTTTTTAGCCAATCATAATGCAATCGACATTCTCATTAGCCAATCCTACTGCTTTGGTCGCTTTTGGTGGTGATTTCAACAATATATGTCCCTAAAATGGCATATTTGGGTGATCGTCGCATGAATAATCGAAGGTCTTTATCTCGGTGCGACGAGTACATGCCGTGTTGTCAAATCCGTTCAAATTGGCTTCCGATTAGAATGCCCTAGCCCATAAAAATGAACTAACGAGACATTTGTAACCAATCACGATAAGCATGGTGTGGCCCTGCCAAAAAGTTCATATTTAAATGTATATATCTCCATTGAATAACCTAACAATCTGACTCCATATTTCAGCGAAATGGAATATATTATTGTCAAATCGATTCGAAACTGGAGCCATCAGCAGAATCGATTGTCTTTAATCGATTAAAGAACTCCTGAGCTAATCAAATCACGTCATGTCGCATTTCTGCCAATCCAAACGTTTGATCCCTGCACATTGGGCAAAACCACATATATACTAATCGCTGTATAGTATAGTGTGTACAAGCTTAAATAGATGAGTGGAGTTGTATCAAGGCAGGGGTAGGAAAAATATCACCTCAACAAGAGTGACTTCGTATTATTTATTTATTGAAGTACAAGCGAGAAGAGTTACACATTTATTTGAGTAGAATTTTATTCTGAATGGATCGGCCAATTTTTATTATTCTAAATTAGTTTTACCAACGTATCAATAAACTATTCAATCTGCGTAGACTGGATATTCGGAGGTCATTGTGAGTTATTCTCTGTCAATAAGTTATTATTAGGATGATCTATTCTGTATCGTGTTTAGAAAGAATAAATAATTTCTCCACCTCGCATGTCATAAACAAGGATATTAAAAATGATTTATTGGACTGAAATAAATATAAATAGTACGCTTCCCTCTGGTATCCTTATACTTAGTAACGACATGGTATAAGTCATTTGCTGAGAGATTTGGTTTGTATTTGGCACTATACTGATGAACTTATACAGCGATTCTCCTATGATGTGTCGAATGCATGGTCGACGTGCGCAAGACGATGCCCCAATTGCTTCGAGTCCTCTTCGTATATGGGATGGATTTCGTTGCATGCCTCAGGACGCTCCTGCTCCGAATGGCAGGGGCGGCGCCACGTACATGCCGTCGGTGGGGTATGTCGGATGGCCGGGAGGATGCATGGGAGGTGGAAGCGGTACTGGAGGAGGCGGAGGGGCTGCCCTCGCTTTGGCTCTCGCTTCTTCGATGAGGATGGTCTTGAGCAGACCGAATTGTACATGTTTCTGGTCCTGTAGCATCTGAAGTTTCTCCTCTAGCATCTATGTACGTTGGGTGAGTAATTTAATCATTGGAAACATGGAGTATACCTGGATCTCCACAGCAGCCTGTGTTTGGATTGGGTTCGTAGGTTGAGGTTCCGTAGGTTCGACCTCTGTAACTGAAGTGGAGGGGTCTACCGCATCAGTAGAAGCACCATCATCGACCTTGACAAGAGTGCTGCTGCTTGCTGGAGACTCGTCCTTCTTTGGGGACTTAAGTTCTTGGTACCGCAGGCGCTCCAGGCACACCTTTTTCCATGGCCCCAGGACACTGCGCCGACGAATGCATCTACAATCCACGCACCATGACATCCTGCATCAAACATGAGTTCTATGCATGCATACTCCCTCACGCGCCGGAAGAGCTCTGGGTTCTTGTGTGGATACGGCGATTCAATGTGGAATTCGCGCATGCCCGCTTGGATGTGGAACAATTTGTTCCGCGGTGGAAACCTTCAACAGTTCATAGAACTCCATAAATGCATATTCCTTAAAAACGAGTCTTGTATCCGGACAACATGCATTCTCAAATTGTTAAATTAACAGTCAAATTAATTGTCTGCGAGGGCGTCGAGGGAACCAGGGCTCCCTCTTGAAAAATTATAACTATATTACAGAGGTAAAAATTAAATTGATTTTCTGGTTCACTTGTGGATATTGCATTGGAAATATAATAATAATACTATTGTACTTCGAAGTAATCTTCTTTCATCATGGATATCATGTTTCACAAGTTATTATATTTCATGGATGCTTTTCGAGTCAAATTCACACTAAAACAAATCGTATTGTGAGAGATATGTCATTGCGGAGTGCATGTTAAAGTGCATGTTCCGACGTATCCGAGACTTCAGAAATCGAGGAAATTGACCTAGCCAGTCCCAACATACGAGCAGAAGTTCCCTCGATACCCTCGGGGACTGTAAGCAAAATATACGAAATGGCTATATTTAGCAGAGTTTTAGCGCGCTTTACGTGGCTGCTTCTTTGGCGATTCAGGCAAGTAGTCCTCCAGCACAGAGTTGGGCTCGTCGTCACTTCGCTTGGACTTCGAGGGGAGCGGGATGTCTTTGTAGTGCTTGACCTTGATGCTGGCACGGGGCGATGGCCGGAGCTCCTCCTTCCACAGGTCTTGCTGTTCACGCAACCCACGCACCCAGCGCTTCAAGTCGCCTTCCGACTCGGCTCGCAAGAAGTAGCTGCGATCAGGCGTCTTGATGACAAAGCTGTAGAGCCCGTGGTCGCCCGAATCGAATGGACGGATCGATTCAATGGACAATAGGTCGATGCTCTTGGACGCATCTGTGGTGGACTTGGACGTGTAGTACTTGAACTGCTTGCCTTCGAGGGAGAACCACCGCCGCGTCCAGTCGGACGTGAGCATCTTGGGCTCGCGCTTCATCTTGCTCAGGTATCCGCTGATCGTTGCCATCGTGGGGCAAGCGTGTTTGGAAATAACACGAGCCTCGTTTGTTTTCGACTTGAGCGATCTATTTTCAGCATTGACAAGGGGGGGGGTATTTTTGGACCTGCTAACGCCGCCAGCAACGCCGCAAAACTATATTGCATGAAAACTATATTGCTACTAAATATATATACGTAGTACGTTAGTTATTAATAGTAGTTAGTGTATTGTTGGTAGCTAGCTGAAACATCTAATTATTGAGTGTTATCTGTTTTCGATATTACTTCGTAGCCAAAATTTAGCGATAACTGGTAGTACTTGGAAGGATATTGCTAATAAGGATACGTACAATAGCAAGATACAGTATTTAGCGTCAACGTGATACTTTCGAAGTAAATCAATTTACAGTTAAGAAGACACATCTGACGAACTTGCCTTGGGAGACCTTCCAAATCGTTACTATTAGTACTGATCTCCACCCTTAAACGAAACGGAGCAAATTATGCAATTCACACAGTAAATTAACTCTTACAGGTATTTGCAGGCTGTCTGAACCAACCATTTATACATGCATTCAAGCGCTGGGCGTCTCCAAGTCAGAGCTGAGTATGCCAGTGCGTCTCCAGCAGTTTCTCACAGTGGAAGTGATGTCATCCATTTCAATGCCAAACGATTCAAGTGTTCGAATTTTGAAAAAGTCATCACCTTCCGATATGGTTGGATAATATAAAGTTTCAAAAATTATCAAGTTTACCCCGTTTCGTTTAAGGGGGGAGATCAGTACTAGTATTATATGGCAACAATCATTTCTTGTTCTGGGCCGTCAAACCAGACTGTATGTATTTCACCAACCGAGGTATTACGACCTCTCACCCCATCTAGGCTTGGCCGCGGGATTTTCGTAAAAAGATCACCGCGGCACACGCAATGATCAACGCCGCTCCCACGACACTCCATCCGTGGATGGGCTCATGGAGCCACACTGCATCCCATAGAAACGCAAACACGACATCGAGGTATCGAATCACGGACGAGATACCAATCTTTTCGATCTGAAACCCCTTGGTCAGGCATAACTGGCCCACAAACCCCACGGTACCACCGACAAAGGCCGCCCACACCACAGCAGGGTTCGCGTCTGGTCGTAACAGGTGAAACTCCTACTCACCAACCACAATCTCAACACCAAAATCTTCAAAGTTATTTACAAGTAAGTCCACACAAGTTTCAATATCTTTACAGGTACACTAACTACTACCCAAACACTTCACGTTACAGTTGGGTACAAGTCCACACAACGTTAACGTTAGTTAGGTACTGTACGCATCTTTGCAGTTATTAGGTGGAAGTAAGAAACACACACAAAGTTAGGTAGTGTACCACATCGTTAGGTACCAGTATGACACCCAACTTAATAGGTACCAACCAGTACACATAGAATCCCGTTAGGTACCAATACAAAATACATACATACACACCGTTCAAAGTCAAACATTCTCCAGCCTCTACCCACTCTCGATATGTCATGACAGGACGTACCCCGCCTTCCATGACGATCACCCACAGGCCCGCGGCAGCCGCGGACGTGAGTAAAAAGTAGTGCGTCACCACCACATAATGGAGCGCCGCGAGTTTGTGCAGATGCACATATGTGAGTGCGATCAAGACGGCAGACATGATGCCACCCCATGGCGCATACGGGTTGGTCGCGGCTTGAGCGGCTGATCCGAACAAAAACGCGGGCTGGCACACGCACACGACCCCAACTAACGACACGACTGCACATCCGAGGTCGACGGAGGCGATGGCTTCGCCCAGTAGCCACGCCCCAAGGAAGAACGTGAGCACGGGACTGGTAAAGGCGAGGACGTGCGCGTCAGCTAACGTCATTTCCTTGATCGTCCAGAACAACGTCGCACATGTGACAAACCCGTAGATGCAGCGCCACGTCAGGTCCCAGTGGAATTCGCGGGGCACGACCAAGTCCATGCGCCAATACAATGCCAACATCTAGAACGACGTCGTGAATTCATCTGGAGCTTTGTGTTTTGGCTGCTGTCGTACCACAACATAGACGTACGAGATTGCACACCGCCAGAACACCGTCTCCATGGACGACAGACTCGACCCTTCGAACTTGATGCACGCGGACATGATACTGATCAAGAACGACGCCAGAGCTACCATGCTCAAGCCAAGCATACGATGGTTTCTCGTTGGAGCAACAACCGCATCGGACGACACGAGAAGGGTCATGTGCTCTGCATGCTTTCTCGCAGGTGGTGGCGGTGTATGGTGGCCAAGCGGCATATTGTCGTCGATGGTGTCGCGCGGCAAACGTTAGGTTGTGGTGGACCTGATGGCACCATGTGCATGGTGGTGGAGCACATAAATATGACAACGTACGACCAAAAGGCTGACAAGCAATTATTTTGTCGACTAGTTATTTTGAACGTATGGTTTGACCGATTGAAAGCAGCCCAGGAGCCATAGTGTGAAACAAGGTATTTTGAACTATTAATAGTGCGACCAATCTATCAGGTACAGACCGTTACTGTACTGTAATACTACTAGTAGTACTGTACTACCAGTAGTTCTACTTCGAAGTATTAATAATATGATGCTCGTCACCTATAAACTACCAACTTTTCACAAAATTTTCTGACTTCTATTTCATATTCACTACTCAAAATTTCAGCAAATTGAGACGTAGAATCGACAGATCTCAATGTGGTGAAGAAATTCTACGTCTCATATTCAAATTTGGTGATGAATTGGTCCAGAAATAGATATTTAACCTAGTGGTATTTTACATGGACGCATGGATATTTGGCCATAGGGGTGGCCGCTGAGATGTATCTTGCTTTATGTATGTGACTCTTATCCGTATATAATATCCGGAGGTAGTTGGGACCTTTAACCTCCCATTGCAGTGATAAAACGCATAAAATCGGTATTTAACGTTTTGGTTTTTGGGTTTAACTACATTAATTGTACGTTAAATAATAAAACCTCCACTCTTTGAGCATCATAGTACAGTATTAAACTTTTGACCCGCCAGATCACAAGATCCAACCACTATATCGATATAAAGAGTTGTCAGAAAGTGAAATATTTTAGCATATTATATCCTTGAAGCCCGTGAAGTGGCGAATTCGAATATGCATTGGTATTAATAGGCGGCACTAGTATGTATTAGTACAGGTTCCTCGGTACACTGTAGCCGCCTCGGCCACCTTGGCTCCAGGACAATACGCACCGGACCATCGTCGTTAGGCGCCTTTCTGTACCAGTACAAATCGTACGACGTGAAAGCTTCATGATGGATTGCAAATGCAAAAACGAACGAGGGGCCACCATGCATGCAATTCCTATCAATGCGGTGTTCATACTGTAAGTGCAAACTTTCACGGGATAATTGAATACTACCGGTAGTAGTGTGCAGCTAAAGCACTCGACAATGTAGTATTACGTACTGTACAGTACTACAGTAGTATGTACTAGTAGTAGTAGTATGGAGGGGCAAAGTCCAAGGTCAAAGTTACAGCCTGCACGCCGCCACGACTGCCGCCAGTGTATGTGCATATGTACGCATACAAGCTGCATATTCCTTACCGGTATAACGTGAGCGTTGTTATTACAAACGGCCATTTCAATTCAAGACAATTGGTGGGGTATTGTTAGTTTTGTGTTGCCTACTGTAGCGTTGGCACGACAGTTCAATTCGTACATGCCGTTGATTTACTAACTAAACTTAGTACATTATTACTAGTCTCATGTAAAGTAGAACTCAATGCCATTCACGTTACTACGGACAACGCATTATTATGGATGGTGGCTAGGATGTTGTCTCGTGGAGGCGCGTCGGATGTGCACGGTCACGACGGCAACAGTGACCAGCACTGCCCCCAATACGCTCCACCTGTTGACCCGCTCTCGAATAAGCGTCGCATCCCATAGAAACACAAGCGCCAGGTCGGCATATCGCACGGCAGACAAGAGGCGGTCCGTTCGGCTAGACGTGTCTGGATTTTCCAGGTGCTCGAGCCCTTTGACCAAGGCCAAGTCGCCTAGGAACGCCACGAGGCCAGTGATGATTGCTGCTTGGGACACGGTGCGGCCACTGTGATGCAGGCTGAATTGCTACAACGACCAAAAAAGTCAGCATCTCTTGGTGCATCAACAGGACTTTTCAAGCTAATTTGTACGAACCCCTTGCGCCAAGAGAACCCACACACCGGAAACGGTCGCCCCCACAAGCAACACGTAGTGGGCCACGACGACCGCCGGCAATCCCGACAGCTTCTGCACATGCACGTTGGCCAACGCGGCAAAGACGGCAGAGCCAATGGCTCCCAAGGCGGCGTATGGGCTGCCGGTGCTGATGATCGGCACCTCGAAGACCACGTTTGGCCGCGCGACAAACACGACGCCAGCAAGGGCGGCGACGGCTACAATTACGTCCACGAGGCCAATGGGTTCCTGGCGCATCCAAGCGCCAACGAAGAAGGCCACGACGGGAGTGATGGCGGCGATGGTGGTCGCGTCCGCGAGGGCGGTTTCGTTGATGGCCCAGAAGAATGAAATGACGGAGGCGGTGCTGAAGATGCATCGCCACGCCAGGTCCCAGTGGTGTTGAGGTGCCACGAGCAAGTCTGCTTTGGAATACAGCACCAACACCTACAGTGCAACAAACCCACCCTGGTTTACACAACGAATAAGGTGGGACTTGGCGGAGTATATATGATGTCTGTTGTGTTACCAGCACCAAGGCATACGCGATGGCAAATCTCCAAAACGAGGCTTCCATGGAGGTCAAGTCGATGCTAACGTACTTGACAAACGTAGCCACCAAACTACATGCGACGGCGGACAGGGCGACTAGGACGACACCAACCACATGAGTCTTGGCGGATGCTGGCTCGATGAGCAATGGGGTGACTTCAGCAGCATCTTTGGTCGTGTGGAGGTGGACTTGGGCTCGCATGGCAGATGGGTGATGGATTTCAAAATGAGAAAGTAGCGCCGTCGACCAAAGATTCGAGAGGATTTCGTATACTAGTATCATCGTGCTACAACACTACTGCCAAATCACTTGACACTTGTATGGTGGCCACTGTCTGCATGAATCATGGCGCAATCAAGTTTTGCTTCAACATTGAGTCAAATGTAGCACCAAAACAAATGGCAGAATAACGAAAAGGTGAGGACTGTTGGGTGGAACCGTTGCATTAAATTTCGTCGTGATAATAAAATAACCTGGATAGTCAAAGTAGCATATAGAATTGTACGTACTTCCTAGAGATTAGAAAAAATGACCGACGTTCAATGATTATAATATTGAGTTGCACATTCAATAATATGACTGTGTCAGAGGTAATATGAAGCATGAAAAGCTTAGGGCAAGGCTTACTGTAGTATGGGCGTCGATGATCGGGGGGGGGTCTTTACAGTATCACGTTGACCGTGAAGGATTCTCCGCGAAGTTGTGGGTGTTCATTGAAAGCTTGAGCTGAATCAACTCAGACGTGTACATATTTGATTACTACGAAGTACTAGTATTCATGAAGGTGATCCTGTGTCCAACATCGGCAGGATCTCTGCCACGATTTGGAACCATTCTTTCGAACTGCCGCTACTAGTACGGTATTTCATAGTCTTTGCGTTAATTCAGGTTGTTATTGGCTGTGAAATGGCTTCACGGGCTTGTACGTTCATTGCGGCGGCACGACACAACAGGCAAATGGAGGATAGACACGACGATGCAATATGCGCATTCTCCAATGCCCTTCATAAACTGTACTAGTACTAATCAGCCGAGCTCAACAAATGCAAAACTGCAAAGGTACCCAACCTGAATCATTTTGCTTACGAGAGAGCTCGCGCACATCCACGTTGTCATTTGCCGTCGTCAAGAGGAGGGAAAAGGGTGGATGCCAAAGGCATATGGAAAAGGGAATGATAGAGAGACAAGGGGTCGAGGAAGGTGTCTTCGGGGCCTAAGGAGCACTACAGCTGTAGGCCACGCGTCCTAGCCATGTTGAACACTAAGAGAAGGAAGACATGGACTAGCAAGAAGACACAATAAGTGACCAGCTAGGCCAAGAACAGCACAATGCATGCTTAGGATTGGTGGAGAAGCCTATGCGGAGGTGCAGGACGGGGTCCCAGGACCCAGAGGACTGGTGAGTTGCCACGTCGTCACTGCCGTGGGCTTTGATTTACACTGGCCGACAACTAAGCCTGGAATCACGGTGAAGTTCCAATGCATATGCCGTATCTTGGAGTTTACTAGTTTACTTGGAGTCCGATACAGTACTGTAGTTCCTTGAGAACTACTACGTAGTATGTAACCAGCAAACTCGAGCTTGTTCAGGCAACGACAAATGCACTGCTGAGAGTGTACGATACACTCTTGAAGGGCGGGCAGCCACAACACATGACGGCTGATACTGTTGGAGAATCGATAGCCCTTATTGCACGTAGCCAATCGTGGATACGTTGGGGAGGAAGTTGTGGCGATGCAACGCGAGCACAGCGTTGACGATTTCAGCTTCAAGGTCTTGCATTTCCGTCGCAACTTGCTTGTAACGGGCTTGGTGCACTTGCGTGGATTGCAGTCTCGCCAAAAGATCCAAAGCAACGACCAACCAGTCCCGTAGTTGAGGAGGGGAGTTGGCTGTGACCATCAGCTCAACGTGACGTTGGATGAGCCCAAGGAGGTCATGCACGCGTGGCTCAATGAGGTCAAGCATGGTGGTGGTGTCTTCGCGCGACTGTGCATAAGGCAAAGTGACTGCCATGGTTGTGCTTCATGCTTACAGTTACTGTAACGTTAGGTGCATTCTTGCAACCACTGGAAATTCACACTTGTCGATGTCACATCTTTCACAAGAACTAACCAAATAATATAAAATAAAATCAATATTCAGTTGGCGTTTGTATGCTGAGGTTCATCAATATGTCACCATATTACATTGGACATGGTCATGCCACTAGGTAGGAAGTGTATATGACTATTTTGGCAAGGGAGATACAAGGTTATTGTATTGATTTGAGTCCACAACTACATTCGCGTGTCATTAAGAAAGGTATTTTGTGTTTGTATTTTTCAAAACTATATATGTACCCCCCCTGGATGTGTAGATATAAAACCTTGATGTGCGACCAACCCCAAATGAATCACTGTCAATTGAAGCATCACGAGTAACGTTATGAAACTGGTGGTTGTGGCGGCTGCACGTACTACGTACCGGAAGTAATTCAGAGGACAAGCTTACCGGTAACGTTACTGGTATTGTCAAATCGATTCGAAACTGGAGCCCTCAGTAGAATCGAATGTCTTAACCGATGCATTAAAGAACCGGCTGAACCAATCAAATCACGTTCTGGTGAATTTCTGCCAATCCAAACGTTGGACTCGGCCCAGTTCCCATATATATACTAATATTTGTAAAGTATAGTTCGTACAAACTTAAATTATATCCAATGGATTCCAAATGCTACTACCAGTAGTACTTGTGAGTCATTTCGCCAAATACTCTACTACTACTCTGGTCCAAAATAGTTGTTAGGTTCGACTTTCTATTGGCGGCATTTTTCTAAATTAGCCCCAAATTGCGATGTGATTGGTGCATTAGAAATCGCAAGATCTATGCTATGATTGGATAGTTTCTGGGCTTTCTAGAGCGTTTTGGTTGATGAGATATTGGGCGCCAAAATTTGTGTGTCGCATGCGCTGACGAAAAGTCATCAGAATAAGCTCATAACACGATCGTTTCTCCAGCCAACACCGCTTCTCTCGTCGAACTAACTCCACTATGCAGCCACAACTCTCCCACGGCGCTTCCGACCCACTTCGACCGTCTAACGAGCCCCGCGATGGCAAGCGGCACCTACGCCCTGCCGAGCGTCATGCAGTGTACGAGACTCTGCTTGGTGCCTCCAGCAACG